AGCAATAAGTCGGATTTGTCGTAATAAAGTTTTGGAGTAATTGTGGTATCAAATTCCGGAAGTGTCTTCTTGAAATCCTCAAAGAGGTTGATTTTCGGTAAACTTTGTTTTGATTTAACGAAGAATTTCAAAGTCTTTTCTTTTGCTTCATAATTGACGGTAATTTTGAGTAGGTAATTTTGATTTTTGAGGGAGACTACAGTAAAACCAATAGTTTGGATTTTGTCACTTTTGAAATATTTTTGGGCGATTTTATCGCAATCTTCAATGGAAAATAAACTTGAATCTTCCATTTTTGGTACTGGAAGAATTTGACCAAATTGCGTCTTTATATCACGAGACGACGAATCATAAATCTTCTTTTCAATTGAAAGCAATTCAAGCGTCATTTATCTCAATTAGTAAATGTTAGTTTTACTTAATAAAGTAGTTGTTCTTGTGCAAGACAATATAAAGTTTAAACAAATTTTTTCTTGTGACAAAGTTAGACAATAGTGGTATTAAGTGTAATAAATTAATGTGATTAAAGTGGAAAGTGTTAAAATAATTGTTAACAATTTAGCCAGCTCAGTCGCGCAACAATGAATCAAATAACCGAATCGGAATGTTCCAAAATCATAAGTGCGAAACTCAAAAGTCGCGATTTTAAAATTTTGCGCTACCAACAGATCGCATTTGACGAAATTGTGGGTTATTTGGGCGAACATTGTACTCTTGAAATAACAATTCTTCGCAACAACCACGAAGAAACTTACTCTTTCTTCATGAAGAGTGCTCCTCAAGTCCCGTCCCAACGCAATTTCTTCGAGGAAATTGGCGGTTTCTCCAAAGAGAAGAATTTCTTCACCAAGTATCACCCGATGTTGAAACGTTACAACATTGACATTATCGATGATGTGGTCCCTGAGTGTTACCTCGTGTTTGATGAAACGTTCATTTTCGACAACCTCACATGTAAGGGTTATGAGACTCTCCCTTCTCGCAGCCCTTTACCGATCGATTGCATCAAAGCTGCTCTTGCATCATTTGCTAGATTGCACGCCAGTGGTCTAATTTTAGAAGAGATGAAATCGTGTCGTCTCACCGACGAGTTTTCACTCAAAGAGGGCTTTTTCTCGGGTGAGGGTTCGGCGGAGCGAGGCTTACAAGCGGGGAAAGAAGGAATGCGAGCTTTTTGCGATTGGACAAAAACCGACGAAGCTTTAAAAACCCAAATCGTGGCTGGAATCGAGGAGCAGAAAACTTTCGTCGTCCCGTCGACGAGGTTCAGGAACACCATCTGTCATGCTGATCCTTGGACTAAGAATTTTTTGTTCAAGTTTGAGGGCGGAAAGGCGATAAATTGCGTCACGGTCGATTGGCAGACTTACCGATACGGACCCCCGGCACAGGATGTCCTCGCTTTTATTTATTTAGTCGCCGATGGAACAGTCCGAGAGACGCATTTCGATCACCTGTTGAGCTTTTATTACAGCGAGCTGAGAAAGACGATGGAGAAGTTTGGGTTTGGGGATGTTGTAACACAAGAGGAGTTTTTCCAAAGTTGTCAATATTATAAACAATTTGCGCTCGTGCAGTCTCTGGGGCATTTTCAAGTCGTTTTGCTGGCGGATGAGGACGGAAAGGAGTTGTTTGGGGACCCAGAAAGAGCCAAAAATGTGGTTTTTGGCGAGGATAGGTACGAGTTTATCCAAAAAATTCTTACCAAAGATCCGGTCTTTAGGAAAAGAGTCTGCGATTCAGTCGAAGAGTTGAAAAGGTTGTATGAGGAGAAGTGTAATTAATTTGTTAAATAAATAATTCTTTCCTGAAGTTGTATTTACTTTTTATCCATTAAAACACAATAAAATCTCTTTTGGAAACAGCAAACAAAATTCATATCTTTTGTGTTTCTTACACTACTCCAAAAACTTAAAGGAACAAAAAAATTTCTTACATTTTTAGTGATTTTTGAGTAATTCATTGAAAAATGTTCGTATCTAGGTTTAAAAAAATCATTTTGAAGCTTTAAGTTTCTAGTTTTGAGATCTTTTGGCAAATATTTTCTTCTTTGCTACGGTTATCATAAGAATAAAAATCTCAATTTTTATGTTTTTGTTTTTGGTCTACGGACGTGAGGAATTTTTTTTAGTTAAGTTAATGCAAAGGCCGGATAGCATGTTCGTTTACTTTTAATATGCTTTTTTTGACATTTCTTTGCGTCTATTTGTCACTGAGATTTTTGACTTTAAATGAAAAAGGATCCTTTTGTGTTGGATCATCAATATCTCAGCAACCAATGACCACACAGAGAATATAAGGGTAGGGTCAAATACTGGAATAAATGTTTTATAATATTCTTTTATGATTTTTTGAAAAAAAATTTTTTCACCTTTAACATTAAATTAAAGATAAGAGAAAAAAGTAAATTTTTGCGTTGTTTTAGTAAATCTACTAATATTGATGGGAAAACTAATATTTTTAGGTGTTTTTAGAGCTTAATGTACCTTGCATAACCTTGTAAACTTTTAAATCGATTCATTACATCGTTTTCTGGGACCAAGTGATCAAAGTGTTACAAAATAATTAAAGGAACAACTGTACATATTGTTTTTGAACATCTTCCAATCCTCGTCAAAATGAGAAAAACAATTTTGTTCAGCTTTCTTTTACAATTTTGCATTAGTTAAATTTGAAAAAAAATCGAAAAAAAAATCAAAAAAATTATTTTTGATTAATTTTTTTTTTTAAATAAAAAATAAAAAAATCGAAAAACAATTTTTGTTTAAATTATAATGTAAAACACCTCAATAAAAATATGTTTTTTTCGTTTTGACGAAGATTAGACAAATATGTATTGACTTAACTAAAAAAAATTCTCCACGTCCGTGGACCAAAAACAAAAACATAAAGATTTAGAATTTTTTTCTCGCGCTATTACTTAGAATTGCGTGATAACCGTAGCACAGAGAAAATTTTTAACAAAAGATCTCAAAACTAGAAACTTAAAGCTTCCAAATGGTCTTTTTTTAATCTAGATACAACCATTTTTCGATAAGTTACAGCCTTTCAAATATCATAAAAAAATTTAGGAAAATTCTTTGTTCCTTTAATTTGTTGGAGTAGTGTATTTTAACACAAAAAATAACAAAGAGAAACATCTCGTCGAAACAAAGGGAGACAAATCTTTTAATCTAAAACAAATATTAATAAATTAAAGGATTCAGTCATTGTCTCGTTCTTCTAAAAACACGACATACATTTAGTCTTACCATGGCACCTCTTCAAGAACCAAAATTTACAAAAACTGATTGCGCAAAAATAATATCAGCAAAACTGCAAACCGAAAATTTCACTCTTGTCAACTTCAAGGAAGAAACATTTGACAAAATCCGGGGTTTTTTGGGAGATCATACCACTCTTACCATCACCATAAAATCTAATGGAAATGAAGAAAATCACCGTTTTTTTGTCAAATCTCTGCCCCAAGTCTACTCTCAGCGAAATTTCGTTTTGGAAGTGAACGCATTTTTCAAGGAAAAAGGTTTTTTCACGAAATACTGTGAGTTTTTGAAACAATTTTCCATCTACCAACTTTTGGACGATATAATCCCAACTTGTCGTCTGATCAAAGACGACAGTTTTGTTTTCGAAGATTTGTCAACCAAAGGCTATGTTACGTTCCCTTCACGCGAGTCTTTGACCCTTGACTGTGTCAAAGTGGCTGTTGCAAGTTTGGCAAAATTACACGCAAGTGGACTTATCCTTGAAGAGAAGACTTTATCCACATTGAACCAAAAACTGGAAAAGGAACTAGCTGAAGCCTTTTATTCTAATTCTGAATCGGTGAAAGCCAGCATGGAAGCGTTCAAAACCGGCGCTTATGCAGTTATTGACCTCTCCCACAAACCCACAATGAAAATATCAAACGAATGGTTTAAACAAAAACTCAGCGAAGTTCTCGACTTGCAAAAATTGTATGCAGCACCATCGAGGAAATTCCGCAACACGATTTGTCACGGTGATGTTTGGACGGGGAATTTCATGTTCAAACTGGACCAAAAACCGAAAACTTGCGTCCTTGTCGACTTCCAGGCTTGCAGATATGGACCTCCAGCGCAAGATGTTATTACCTTTTTGTATTTGACCACAAACAGGGATTTCAGAGGAAAACACCAAGAAGAAGTCCTTGGGTTCTACTACAAACAACTGGACTCGATTTTGGACCAGTTTGGGTTTAAAAATCTCATCACGAAGGAAGAATTTGATGAAAGTTGTCGGTTTTACAAACGTTATGCTATGGTTCAAGCTGTTCTTCTTTTCCAAATTGTTATCATGTCTGAAGAGGTGGCGAGTGAATTGTTTGCAAATCAAGATAAAGTCTTGTCGGTGTTATTTAAAGAAAAATACGATTTTATGATGGAAGTTTGTCAAAAGGATCCGATTTTTAAGAAAATGAATTTTGAGGCTATTGCTGAACTTAGGGAATTTTTCGAGGATCAAATTTAATATGAAATAATTGTCAAAATAAATTTATTACAAATAATCACAATAATCTTTAAAGTCCTGAATGGAGTCCCGAATCACCATGATTTAACAACTCGACGGTTTTGTAACTGTGTAAAACAACTCTTGTAGTTTCGGCCAACACTTTTCGAAATTCTTCAAATTCGTTTCGGTTTTCTCTTCTGGGAATAAATCCATAACGTCGGTAACCGATCGAAGTCCCGTCTGCATCATAACAGCACCAGTCTGTGCTTCTTCTCGCGAAAAGAAAACTTCTTGTAGATAATCACTGTATTTTTCACCAAGACACAACGACATTTTCTCCTCAAAGACGAGCATACTCGCGTGAAATTTCGCAAGTTTTTTTATTGTTCATTCAAGTAAAGGAAAATCGAAGGAGACTTGGGCTTTGAGGGAGCGATAATTTGAGGATAAGTCGTCGAAAACCATAAAGTCGTCACTTCTTTGGAAGTAACAAGTCGGGAGACATTCGTCGATTGTTTCAATTCCGTGGTTTAACATTTGTGGTATAAGAATTTGGTAAATAAAAATTTCTTTAGAGAAACATCCAGTGTCTTGTATTATGTCTCTTGAAGCGTTACTTTTCGGCATACATTTTATAAAACAGTTGATTATTTCGGGAGATTTGTAGAAAATTTTAAGTTTAAGTTTGTGGTAATTACCCAAGTATCCATTGACTGCATCGAGTGGTGTCATTTGGAAAAATTCAAGCTTATAATCCGAACTTTTAATTTTATTCCTCACTATGGTGTAGCAATCTT